ATAAGAAAAGTGCCAGAAAAAAATTTCCAAATTATGTCAAAAAATTTCCAAATTATGTCAAAAAAATTCCTGCACAGCCATGAGGCGTAAAAAAATTCCTGCACACAAAATAAATTGCCCAATCCCCCCCCCCCCCCCCCCCCCCCCAAATCTAATGGTCCGTCCTAATTGTACCAGATTCATATTGTTACTGTCTCCTGTCATGGCTACCATCACGTGTTCGAAATTGCAGTACAGTGTGTGTGAATCCATGTGATCTAATATGACCTTTACTCTTCTATTATTTAGAGGCAACTTATCGACATCACACAGTTATTGATGGTCAGTTTGTGTCGTTAGCTATCATGGATACAGCTGGAAAGGTTGGTTCGCTTTGTCACTCTTTTGTTTGATATTCCTATCCATTTATATTCTCCTATCCATGAATCTATCTATCCATCTGATCTATCCATTCACCCCATACCATCCGTTCGTCCCTCGATCCATCCATCTCTTTCATTCATTAACTTATATACATGTACTCTATCCATGAATCTATCCGTCCATCCATCTGATCCATTCCACCACTCACCATTCTTCCGCTCTCAATTCATCCCATTTGAATTTTCCCGCCATTAGAACTCACGTGACAAGATGGACACATGCCTAACGTTTGGTGAGCTGTTTTTCATCGTATACTCAACAACTGACCGCACGTCATTTGACGAAGCTCGCCTACTAGTCAAGTACATCCAACAAGACAAAACCATCCAGTCCAGCCCCTATTTAATAGCTATCGTCGCTACCAAAAAAGACTTAAAACATTTGCGCCAGGTAGAGGAATATGAAGGACGGTTCCTTGCGCAGGATGTCGATGGACTATTCTACCAGGTTTCGATTTCAGAAGGTTACGAAGAGGTACAAAAAATGCTTGAGGAAGTGCTGAGGGCTTGTTTGAATCGAGAAAAGAACAAGGGAAGCTCGACTCTCTCTAAAATGAAGGAAGGGATTATGGTGAAGACGAAATCTCTGAGAAGAAAATCGACGAGTGATTCAACACCAGCTGAACAAATTCGGCCTACGACACTAGGGCAAAATACGTCACCTGTGTCTGTCACGTGATGTAATAATATATGATATGAACAAATGATCCCCACTTCCTCCCTTCTGGACATAGAGAGGTCACTCTTCAGAGAATTGGTCAGGTATTTTCTTTACTCCTCCTCAACACCCACCCCCAGGGAATATTGGCCCTTACTTCCTCCCCCTCAAGGAGGAGAGCTATTATATCCCTCCTAAAGGGAAAGGGGAAGCCCCTTTCCCCAGTTAACGGTATGGTTCACCTCCTCCCTCCCCTATCTCAAGGGATAGTGTTTATATCCCTCCTAAAGAAGGGAAAGGGGGAAGCCTTTCCCCAGATAACGGTATGGTTCACCTCCTCTCTCCCCTATCTCAAGGGATAGTGGGCGAACGTCTTCATCCACAAGCCTGCATATCAGATCAAGTAACGATCGATTCACAATAGATGTGTTACATCGCCTATAAATATACGTACTGCACAAATAAATTGCCTACATTATTTCGTCAAGCGTCGAAAATGACTTTTGGCTTTCCTAAATGGGTGTTGACTTAGAATGTTCAAGTAAAATCAAAGACTGTAATCAGTGACCAAAATCTTGACCAAGACATAACGGAAGACGGTTTAGTTTAACAGATAAATAAAAAGCCAATAAAACCGCAACATACATTATTGCATCAATGACTCGCAGATGGTACTCGAGAATAAATGCGTTAAGAGAAAATAATGAATGTCACAGGAATGAAAGGTTTAGTTGAGTAACGTCATCGACGCCATCTTAGAGGACATGTTTTGCGACTAGCGACAAGGCAGAGGAAAAAGACTCATTGAGGCAAAACCGAAAAATGAAGGGAATAAATGAAAGCTGGGTTTAATATAACTGACGTCATAGACGCCATTTTGGATGACGTTTTGCGACTAGCGCACCAACATGGCTGCCATGTTTTTTCTTACAGAAGAACGAAATACGACGTCAAAGAAAATATTTGAATTTTCTTCAGCTTAAATTTCTGTTCCACTTGAAATTTGCTTGTAATTTGTTTCATGCTCATCAACATATCTTGTCCAAAACACCAAGACGTTAGTAATAAAATAATAAAGACTAACTATGACGTCATATGGTTTGCTTGATTGACAGTTATTGGTTCTTCGACTTCAGACTCTATGTTATCATCTTCATCGATATTTTTTATCCTTTTTACCATATATTTGGCATTTTTTAATCCAAACCACGATGTGAAATTTTAAATAAAGCTGCACCAAAAAGAAAAATCTCGAACCTCTTTTCCTAATAAATTGCAAAATTGAAAATTGTTAACATTTTTTGTCGTGGCATCATGCAGTTAAGATATTCTTCTTTATTTATATCCTGCTAGTCGTATATCTAAACAACTTAAAACACCTTCTTAGATGAACAGTAAGTGAAAGCTGGAAGTTTAATGAATTTTTCATGATTATATTTGTTTGCCATCGTTTCTTCGCATCAAAAAGCTCACCAGGATCTGGTTTGCCAAGCAGGTATTGCAGTGACCAAACTAGACTTACGATAAATTCCTTCCCTTCTGTCATACTGTGCTTATTCACCACTAAGCAATATTACTGAACTCTGAATTTATGCTGATATAAGGAGTTGGTAAAGAAAGAGGATAACAATTCAAAAGGTTAGTAATGTTTGATTTTTAAAATCGTAATCACACAAATTTCATATTTTTTATTTGTCTTGAAGTTTGAGCTTTTTTTGCAAATAGAGTTTGGCTCGTGTCCAGCAATTCTTCGCGGAATACACTGTGTGTTTTTGTTTACTTATTTCCTTCTATTTTATAATATCACACTTTTTCTGGATAAACATAGTTTTTCTAGTTCATAATTCAAATCATTTTATGAAACACAAAAATTATACTATTACAATGTAACTGATCGGTACACAAAAGTAAAAAAGATGTAGTCAAACGGAACTTTCAACTACCAGAAGTAAATTTTATTTTCTTCTCACAAACCCATTCTTAAGTTTATCAGATCAAAGAAGCATAAACTGCCAATTTTCGTAGAATATTAGAAAGCTTTAAGCAGATTATAATAAAATTGGCTAGTATTTGTCTGCGCCTTCGATACAACGCAATAGAATTAGTCTTGTTGTTAAAATAAGTCGAGTTTCGGCTCTCAACAGTAGACGTATAACGAACATCGTCTAATCCATTCGCAGCAAGGTTTTAATAGCATTTTGTAAAGAAAATAGTAGTAGCTTAGTAAAGAAATTAACTTATCTTACTAAAACTCGCTTGAAAAAATGTTTATACAAAATATCGTAAAGAATTTCAAATATGCAACTTGTAAATTTAATGACGGAATTCACTAAATATTAATGTTCAAATGAAGAAATTCGTTCGACGTTTTGCACTGCTAAATGTTATAGAAATTATAAAGATATTTATTAATGAATATTTTCAACCCCAATAAGTTTCGTATTCCATTCGCTGTACTGAAGACACAGATTGATATATTTTGATGTGGTATCAGTCAACCATAGGAAATTGTCTAGATGGAATCAGCTTTGCAGTTAAAACTCTTAAGCATTGATTTTATCAGTAAAAATCCTTAGAAATAAAAGAAGAAAAGCCTCTTTGCTAATACGGTTTTTGGCTATATTACGGACGAAAAACACAAGAAGTAGGTTTGCTTGGACTATAAGAACTAACTGCGCATGCTCAGAAATCTCGCAAAAGCGCTCGAACCGACTTTTCGGGATGAGTAGAAATAGTGGAATTTTTACCGAAACCTTTTTTCATCAGAAAGCAAGTTTTAGACGATTTTATTTTGTCGAATGAAAAAAAATTAAAAGCTAAAAGCAATCTGGAGAGATCGGTGTTGCATAGAAGCTTCCTATCTCAGCGCGCAATCTCTTCAATGAAAAAGAAATCGTCGAGCATGCGCAGTATCAACGTCGGCGATGAAAATCGGAATTTCTCGACTTTCCATCTGTTGCACGTGTAAAATTTCTGTGACGTCGTTTGATGTCGGTAATCCATCACTAATCACGTGCTATCCCAAAAAAAATTAACCGATGTCTACAGGCAAAACAGCTGGATGCATCCCAATATTACATATCTATTTTGACTGATCGACAGGGGTCTATTCTCTATGGAACTCAATTGAGCAGCAAAAAAACAGACTGGCTATCCACAGGACTACCTCGTTGCCCCGAGAGATAAAAATTAATTAATTACTTAATTGATAAAAGTACTCACTCATGAACACATGCAAAATTCAACTCAACGTGCTTGCTAGCGACCTGACAGAACTATAACTACAAAAGCTGCGAAAAATACAAAGAAAAAGTAAGTTCGTTTAAGTAAACACTCTTGCAAAAATATATATAACTACAATATAGTTAAGAGACAGTTTTCATCGCTTTGTGAAGTTACATAATGGATGGCTGCACTTAAAGACACTTGTTTTGAAATCTCCCTATCTTTCTTTCCGTCTAGAAAATATTTCGATAAGATCTATGCAAAACTCTTTCAATTTGTTCATATTGTTCTTTGATATTGTACTCGACTTTTGGAGACCTTTGTTACTGCATGTCTTGAATTCAGTTAGGTTTATGGATTTGACAAAATTCCGTGTAAGAATTATTAGACCATTTTCATCATTCGTCAGCTCATGAAAGAATCACTCATAAGGAATACCTCTTTGATAGTCTTTGATCTTTATCCTTAAAGAAGATAATTCATTGATAATTTGTGCAAACCTTTCAAGTACTTATGTAATCACCTTTCTGCGTTGTAGTTAGGGGAACCAACTCTATAAGATCTAGCTCAATAGTTCCATAACAATCGACTATGATTTTAAACATATATATTGATATTACAATCAACTTTTCCAAAATAATTGTCGCATTTGAAAGACCAAAAAATCTTTCATTTTTACAAATATTTAATTCCGTGCATTAAGGACAAAGAAAACACTTTTAATCTTATTGCCAAATACATTATTTCCTAGCTTTTAAATCCTCTTCATGCGATAACATTTTCTAGGCGAGTAAAAGACGTTTCCTGGTGAAACTCTTAAAGCATCTTAACCAACATAGTTTTCATCCTTGCCTTTCAGTATTGGGCTGTAGTTTTGAAATCAATTCTTTAGTAAAATAAAAGCCTTCAATATAATCAAAAGGGAGTCTGAAACAAAGAGTATAGCCTAGAAGTGTGAAAATGGATTTAATCTGACCAAATATTGTGTTTAAGATAAACCATGCCAATCAGGTCAATATATATAATGCCCTGAGCGCGTGGGAGAAAGATTTTCTCTTAACTATGATTATTCATGAAGAATCTGCATTTTTATTGGTCTAAGATATAATCTCAATTAGTGGAATAAAAACCGTATGTTCGTATGGTTTTAGGTTATTTCGTGGTGAAGTGAAGCACAGAAGGAGCTAAAGCTAAAAACTGAAGACCATGAAGAATAGAAGAAAGCTTGGCATTTCTGCCCCCACCGTCGTCAAGAATATTCGAGTAGTTGTTCTGGGAAAAGATGGTGTTGGAAAATCTGGTAAGAACAGTGATTTATATTTATTTATAATTTAAAACTCTCTCCTGTAATTAAAATCTATTTGTTTATATTTTGAGATTTCTGTTATGGTTTTGCAACGTATATTTTTCATTTTATTACTTCAGTATTGCACTACACTTTTCTCATTTTATTCCATTATTAGTTTACGTAATTTGTGTTTTTTATCACTCAGCTGCTTGCTTTCTACTTGTTTTTTCTTCTTTTTCTTTCATCCATTCATTCACTTTTTTTTCGTTCTTATTTTTTCAATCCTCTTTCATGTTATTGATTCATTGATATATGTTCTATCAATATTTTAAAGAAATTGCGTTGAGTATTCTGTATATAGTGGCATCTTAATACAACTCTGTCTATATTTCTTAAATTGCATGACAATATCTAAAATTTATGCATGTATTAAAACACACCTTGTGAGAAGTTGTCTAAATATATCGACCCAGAAAAGTGATTGCCAAAAATAGCACAAAGAACCATGTATATAATAGTCTTAGGCCACTAATCTATCTATTCTTTATCACAGTTGACTATGTTCAAAATGCATTCCTTTTAGAAGCATAATCCTTTTTGCATAACGATAATGTGTAGGACGGAAAACATACTGGGAGAGTCTTTTAGGTTCGGTATTTTAGTGAGAGCGTTTTGTGTTTGATAATCTTAAAGACAGCATGTTATCTAGGGTCTTTGGTGTACATTGAGCACCAATTATTTGGTCGATTCTCGTGAGTTTAGGTAAATTGTTCTGATTCTATCGATTGATAATGAAAGCTTTGCCAATTGGACAGGCGGAACGTACCCTGAAATAGATCCATCTATTAGAACAGAATTGAAGAGAGCGGTCAAGCAAGAAAGAAAACAAAAGAAAGGAAAACTAGGAAAGGAAAGAAAGGACGTCATGAATGAAGAAAGAAAGGGAAAAACAACATCAAAAGAGAGAGAAAAAACGGATTGAACGATCTAAGAAAATCACTAAATGGATGGATAAAAGATAGATCAAAGACGAACGGATGAATAGATGAAAGAATGAATTCGTATATAAACATATATGCATGTTTATATATGACTATAATTTTGGCCCAAACTAAGAATATTTTGACAAGCTAAGGTATTTTTCACGGATGTTGATCTTTAATTAAATCCAATTCAATTGTAAAATATTTTTAGAACACTCAGTTTTGTGTTTACGCGTCATTGAATACAATACCCTCCATGCCTAATACGGGTTACTGACTATTGGACCGTTAAAGGTCAAGTTTGTTACTGCGGTTTCATGCTCTAGAATTTACTTACAAAATTATTTCACAATAGAGTGTTGTTTTGGGGTTCCTGTGGTGCGTTGACTCGTTCCCACTCTTCTATCAAAAAAATAAAGCATAGGTAACCCATGCTAAAAAGTCATATAACAGTACTATCATTTTCTCTTTTCTAGCCTTGACTGTTAGGCTTCTTACGAAGAGATTCATTGGCGAGTATGACAAAGAATTGGGTAAGTTCTGGGTCTATTTCTAACTATTCTAAAATGGCATATTTTACTAAGTCAGATAGATAAAGTGTTAGTTTGTGAACCATGACGTCATTTCCTGAAAGTCCTCCTAGTAAATTGGATCAAAGATTATCCAGAAATCTTTTAAACATGAAGCCGATTAAAACTGACTTTTTTTTTAAATTTCTTTATGCTGTTCGTTGCTAGGAAAACGGATTTGTCTCGTTGTTGTTGCTGTTGTTGTTGCAGGTGCTGTTTTGGTTTTAATTTAGTATTTCTTATAATGAGCGCAAAAGCGCACGTACAAAGATTAAGAATGTTCCAGAACATTAAAGAAAATTACGATAAAGTAACGAAAACCATCGTCGTTTAGTCGCCTGTTAATCTTATTTATAGGATCTCTGCGTCAATGGTGGTCGGAAGTGAAAGAACTCTTAACTAAATCACTTAACCACTTATCGCTTCAATGAATATTCTTTGTTTGAAATTCTAGAAAACACATACAGACATCACATCGAGATAGATAACGAACTGGTAACACTGGATATTATGGATACCGCAGGATATGTAAGTGACAATGACATACACCAATCGGTCACGTGACTATTTCCCGCCATTTTTAAGAAAAGGACTGAGTTAAAAATTCCCTATAGACATAATTTTATTGGAATTTTTTGCATTTTCGCATCTGCTATAGGTCTTGAATAATTCACAAGTGAGAATGATGATTAAAAAGACGTGACCGCCATGTTCGTAACGAATGAAACAAACGAGAAATTCATTATTTGTTACTGAAATACACCAAGATGGCGACGTTGAAAATAGCGGGGAAACATTCTGACATTCTGTCGTTACGAAACATTACATACGAAACCCACATAGTCTCTTGTCAAAGACCGAAATGGCGGGAAATAGTCGCAATATATTGTCAACCGACCACGCTCCCTTCCTCATTATTGACTTATTTTCTTTATTTAACATTGTAGAATTCAAACGAAAAGTTGGATCAATGTGTGTCAGTAGGAGATATTTTCGTGGTTCTCTACTCAATAACAGACAGGACGAGTTTTCTCGAGGCTGTGTGGATAGCAAAATACGTCAAAAACCGTAAACAACTAGACTCAACAAACCTCGTCATCGCGGGCACAAAACGAGATCTCGAACACTTCCGAGATGTGCAAGACACGGAGGGAAGTAAACTAACACACGAACTGAACTGCGGGTTTTACGAGATTTCGATATCGGAAGGATTTTGTGATACTTTGGACATGTTTCATGATATCTTACGGCAGTATTTTGAATCGCGCAAAGCAAATGACAATCTCATTCCATTGGCTTCTCCAACTTCGCCAACATCACCGACATCACCAATCAACCCACACAAGGAAATAAAGAGTCCGTCGTCTTGGTCCAAGGTTAAAGGACTGCGTACAATACCTTTCCGTAGAAAATCAGTACAGACTGCAGCGAGTTAGATTACTTTTAGTAACAGAATCCTCGCGTTGGTAATACTCAAAGGAGTAGACGTCTCACATTGAAAAACATCAGTAAAGCTAGATAAATACATATTATATTTAGATCGTCTAGCATTGTGGACTTTCTTTTTTGAGCTTCCTGTGGAAGGCGACGGAAGAGGGGAACTGTCTTGCTTTCGTTTAGTCGCCCTCGGTAAAATTATCATAGACACAAGCAGCTCACTAATATATGTATAGACTGTAGTGTCTCTAATCACGAAAATTAGTTCTTCCTCAAGGGAAATATTTAATGATTTTATAGAACTGAGGTAACTAAGCTATCATGAGTCCACTTAGCGATAAAAGTAATAAATACGATAAAACTTTTTTTGTGATTGTTGTAAACTTGTATGTCATCTTAACTGCTCGTCTCGTCAGCTGTCAGAGCGAGAAACGTTTAGTTTAGATTGATTTCGGAGAGCTGTTGCTATATTTTTGCGTTTTCAGAAAAGGTTAAACTCGCTATTCGGTTTGTCACCAAAAATCTCCCATACTGCGTAGACAAAGTGCCCTCTGGCCTGTCGGTTTTGGCGGGAAGCCAGTTAGTGATCATGGTTGTAGATGGATCAAACAAAGATAGGCAAGCGTAAGCCAGGCCACCTTATGACAGAAATATCCACAGATGTTCAGGCTTCGAGTCAACAAGTGATGGAATTAAGGTCAATGATGTCTCGACACATCTAGTGTTTTCTTTCCATGGTAGACGCGCCCACCACGCAAAGCCTTCCATGATATACATGGCGATGAAGGGTTGGGAACAGCAGCCGTGCGGTAGCCAAACTATCCAAGAAAGATCGAAAATAACGTTGTGTTTTCATAAGCAGCTTTAACCCTTGCACTCTTACGCGACTTAAGTCGCACATGCTTAATTCAGTTGGTTCAAATAGACTTCTATAAATAGCCACAGACTATTCCATGCCCACTGTGTGCACTCATGACTTTTCTTTTATTGAGGAAACTTGTCCAGAGTTAAACAAAATATCTCTTTATCCAAACAATTTGAAGACGTCTGCAGTATCGACGCGTCACTTCAAACCACAAAAATTATACCTATTTGTTTATCTGCCAAACTGAACGTTGTTCCTGACTTTAAAGGAAATCCTGGGAGAGAAGGAGGAGATCGAGAGGAGAAGATTATAAATAGACCAGGTATTAGTCAAATTCCTTGCGTTGGAGGTCTGATCCAATATTCCTTTTGTATAATTTTTTCGCATAGTTTACGATATGTATAACACAAACACTGTCCGGCAGTATGACATATATTACTGGTAATTCTTTCAGCAAAGGATTTGTTTCTCTTATCTTCCAGTTACATTCGAGACAACTTGTTTGATTTTTTGCCTCAAGGCGTAGAAACATTGAATTACCTTTACGAGAGGTCGGGACGCACGATACCTAGTGACGTTTTTAAGAAAACGTCACTCGAAAATGGCTTCCAACTTAATCCAATCAGAGTGCCACCATCCAATCAGAGTGCTTGAAATAGGGAAGGTGCTCGAATTGGTGGAAATCTGTGGGGAGGAGACGTAGATGGGTCACGTTCTTTTACACGAGTACGTGTGACATAATCTTGAAGAATCTACTAATAGATCCGGAAAAAAAGGAATTTGCCCTGATTAAAATTGCCGGGAAGGTAATGACGATAATAATATAGTGGAATGATATTTTATTACGAGACCACAGTGCTGAAGACGCACATTTTTGCCGATTTGTTTATTGTGCGGCGCCAAACTTGTGCGTTTATGGCTCGAAATCGCAGTAATTATTTAAAATCTTGAGCTAATACAGGATGTATATTGAGAACACGAAAATACAGTACATTTATTTGGAAGAACCATTCCCTGGCAAACTGGAGGTAAGTTATCTTTTGTATAAAACAAAGCAAAGAGGATTCGATGTAGGTCTGTTTACTAAAAGAAGGAAGGTCTTGAAATCTTCAGAACTAATTTTCGTAAAAACCATTGTAGCAGAAAGAATAAAACACAAAGAATTTCCTGATAATTTACTGATTAGCCGAGTACTTTAAAAAAAAACTTTATTGAGTTGTAATAAATTCGCTTGTTTAGGTCATGGTGAAAGATTTGAATGTCATTAGTAAAGACATGGCAAAACTAGATGAAGGGTTGAATTGTGATTTCAAAACTAATTGTATGAAGAACTTTCAGAGTTTGAGATATTGTAATAATCAAATATAATGCTATTACGCAAATATTTTGACCGATTCAAAAAATATTTTCTTACTGATTACATAACATAAACCTCAATTATTGAGGTTTAAAATGTTTCATTTGACTACCAAAAACGGAAATCCTAAGTTTTTTGTCGATTATTTTAAATTTTGAAGTATTGAGTAAACATTCAATGCATATATATAAGCAGTCTAGCCGTCAGCTATAATTTTATAAGAATCAATCAAAACTTCTCAGAGAGCACGCAACTTTTGTATTCCATTCAAAGCAAGACCATCATCTATAAGTAGGTTAGCCATGGAATTTGTTAGACAAGAGTGAACTATTGTAGTGTAATTATAAGATTTTATGAAGCGACAGAAATGGGTAAAACAATCAAAGTGTTGTGACTGCAATCACAGTATATATTTGTATATATTTTTTCCTTCTGACACTTGAACCCAACGACCTCGATTGTCTTATTAACGCCAGTTCCATATATGTACCAGACTAGACCCATCTATTACCACATTCCCTCGTTACGTACTACAAAATTTCAGTACCAAGACCCACTGATCATAATTGTGAACTTAGTGCTGACTTACAATGTCTTAGCAATTGTTTATCGGGAAAGAAAACAGGCACTGAAAGACCAAGGAACATTCTTGCTGCGTGCTGCATGCCTCCATCACTTTCTTCCTCTTTTACCATCAAATTCATCTTATTCCTTTCGTCTTCTCACTTCTTCTTCCCTTAGGGCTTCTTCTAATTTTTCATTTTCTTCCAGTTGTTTCTCGCATTCTTATTGTACTTGACAGCCCCGCATTGTCTCTCGTCCCAAGTGACGTCATGACAATCTTGATGTTACGTGTTCAGCACACGACAAAACCAGCCAGTCCTCCTCCTTCATCGAATGAATTGTTCTACGACCTTCTAAATCAATCCTTTCTCCCGGTTATTCCGACATCATTGAAATTATATCTTCGAGCTTTAATATTTAACTTTATTAATCTTGTTTTTTATTATCCTAAGTGAAAGAAATACAGTGCGTGCAACCATGTGACTCAATATTCCTTGAGATATGAATAACAATGAAACAACCGCCATGTTGGTTGATCTAACGAGAGAAGCTAATGAGGAGTGCTTTGTTATCATCAACCAAGATGGTGGTTACGACGTAACATACATATCCTTTCTTGGATTGGATGGCCAAGTCTTCATCGAAGGGTTCAAATTAATGGTCTTCAGTTGTTGTTGTTGTTGTTTTTTTTTTTTTATTTATATTTTTGCTGTACAAAGATACCAAACCAGATTTGTATGTTTTAACAACAGTCTTTGCAGCATTACCAGCCTTTGCGTATGTGCAACTGAATTTTGATGTTCGCCTTACATACATGAAAAATAATTTTTACATAATATTCTTACATAATCACTGAGATTGATTTGTTAAACTAACTGTTTGCTAGAGTTCACCGTGACTTGTGAGATGGTCCAGATGGAACCCGCGAACTTTGAACAAATATGTATGACATACAATTTAGAAAAAGACCAAACCGTAAAGCTACATCTTTGTATACAAAGTCATTGTACAAAGTTGAGACCAGTAAGTGCGCATGCGTAGAGCAGATAGACTTTGAGTGTCTTTGCCGACTTCGATAAAACTTTTACCTCAGGTTTAATTAACACTCCTTTAAGGTGCAAGTACGAAACCTACTGAAAATTGTAAGTTGCATTCTTATCATTCGTTCGACTAAGACAATGTAGTCAATACGGCATGTCAGACATATGATGTTCGAGACCTTTTTTGTTGTGTACGGCCAACATGGCCGCCATGACGTCACGTAGGAACCAATAATTTGAGATGCTCTTGTAAGTCTTCAATGGAGTTTTAAAATATTTTTTAAGGGTTCTCAAAAGAGTAAATAGAACGACAAGAAATATCGGCCAAGATCATAATGTGTCAGTAATGACACTATTCAAGACGAATGAAAAAGTACTTTACAAATGATCTTCTACCTTGGGGATCTATGATCTTGGAACATCATTGTAACTTAGCAATGGAAATTAAAACCTTGCGAACCAATCAAAGCACAGAGTCTGAAGAGCTCCTCTCTACGATTTCAAGTGTGTTGACCTAATTTGTTATTAATCTTTGTTTAGTTTCTTGCAATGTCAAGGTAAAGTCAAAGGGAAAATTCATGGAAAAGAAATAAGGCACACTAGCAGAAACACTCGTACGAGTTCCTAAAAAGAAGTTTCCACAGTCTTAGAGAATTAGCACTGATGTTAATTTCGATATCCATTAATAAATTATTAACTATTAGAATACGTTTTTAGTAGATGACACCAAGAATCTGTATACTATAATTTAATAGAAATTTTGTAGGTTTGTTTGATGTCATGGAGATCAGTTCCATCTTGTTCGGTACGTTTGTTTTCATTTTACGATTAACCAATAGTTCCAGGAATTTTCATCCAATTAACATCCAAGAATCAAATTCTATAGCCCATTATTAATCCTTTGATGGTTTGGCAGGTTTCTTTGAAGTTAAAAGATGTTATCTTAGCCTTAGCTACCACTTTACACCACTTTCGCGAGCTTAAAATTTCTTTCATTCAAGTCCAACCGAAAGACATCAAGAATGATGCCCCATCCAATTAAACTTCAGGATTAGCTTTAATTTAAACTATGTACTAGGTCTTATCCCACTGGATTACATTGCAGGTCTAGTTTGATGTCATACGGTGTCACCACAGCCTTGTTGAGGTTGTTCAGCACTTGATAAAACGGAATGATTAATTCAGGTCATTACGTCGGTCCACTTACCCGATGAATGTTTTTTATTGTGAAGATATCAAGTGGTCGGCCCTCGTTGGATCAATAAAGACTGTGACTGCCGATTATTAATCTGCCTGCCTGCCTACAGAACGAATCAATTGTAACTCAAACCAATACTACCTTACCCTAGTTAAACAGTCGATTTGTCTTGAATGTTGTACATAGTTGCAAAGCGGATTCCGCTTAAGGAAAACCTACACGGAGAAAATAACTACATTGGAAAACTTCAGGTAAATTCATAAACCAGAACTGATGATTTCAAAACAATGTTCTGATGAGAAGTTGATTGAAAATGGACACACGTTTTTTTGTTATTGAACCGTAAAAATTTCCAATTTTTTCCAAAAAGAGCTTGAAGAAGATAGACCTGACAGTTTTCTCTGCTTTGTAGAGCTGAGATTCGAGGATACTTCTTTTAAAATTGTCTGAAAGTCGTATTTTTAGTCATTATAGAACTTGCACTGATAGTGTTAGTAGAAGTTGTGTTAGTCAGACAAATGGTTGGAGATAGTGAGAGCCAACGGAAATTTACTGAGCAGTTCAGTACTGCTTCAAATGCATCATACAACAGAGCCGTGTTTTGCCAGTTTGAATGCGAAGTTACTTTGGCCGCATTAATAAGAAAAGCTTGTATAAAGCAATTTACCAAAGGTACTGAACAATTGAAACATCTTTTTGAAGATTGTGACATGGATCTCGAGACAACAACTGTTATCAATTACAAGCTAATCAAAGGTTTATTCATTATTTCTGCAGATACAATCCTAAACTACAGCTATCAAGATGAGAACCAGAAGAAAGTCCGTCTCAACTAATAATGGCGACAATCTACGATCGCTGCATGTCGTCATCCTTGGACAAGATGGTGTTGGAAAATCCGGTAAGACTCAGTTAGAAAGATTTCTTAGTTTTTCTAAATTTCTTGGTGTTTTAGGCTCGCTGTTTCAATATAGTTCACATCTTGTATTACTTTACTATTCATACTGGTTGCATTTTACGGTCACGCTTATCAAACAAACTCCAGAATTGCAATGGAACTGACAGCCGTACACCACGTGCAAAACATCATGCACTAGATCCTTCTCATAAGAAGAGCTAGAAATAAAAATTACATCTTAACATACAAAGTTATTGAGAGAAAAAAGAAACTACTGGGAAAGAGAACTAAAAGTTGGGATAAGTTTTATAGCGGGTTCTTTGATCTTCAACGCCAATGTGCTTTTTATATCGAGCGTTTAACTCTCATTCTTAGTCTCAAGAAAAACCTTGTTAATAGGTTTACATCGTGGCGTCATTTGCATTATGGCGGCATTTTAATTATTTGCATCATGGCGTCATTAACTACCACTACTAGAATCCCTTGCACGCTTTCCTTCGCAGGCTAGTTAATAAGCACCAATTGTCTTGCTATTCTCATGACGAAATACAAATTTAGAATAAGAAAGAAACTGATTCGTGAAGCATTTTAGCAGTGGTGAAAAAAAAAACACACAAAAAAAAGACACAAGGACATGCATACGGCCTATTTCAAAAAGTAATACCAAACGAAGAACAGCAGAATGCTCTCATTTAAAAAAATTAAATTTTGATTTGATTCAGCGACTGAGAGATAAATTCGAAGATCATTCCAGACGTTGAAAAATCAGCTAAAATATTTTAGTGAAAAAAAAAAAAAAAAATTCCAAGACGGCGCAGATTTTTTCCCGGTCACTTAGCAGCTTCAACGGATAATTTGTGTTGCAGATGCAAATGATCACATTAGCCGAAAAGAAGACTTTGCGACAAAAGTCTCGCTCATGAGGATAAGCACGATTTTTATAAAAACATACGTGTTTTGTTTTGCAATAAAACTATGCAGGGTCAGTATATTTGCCTCGTAGTTGAGACGATAGCAAGATGTAAGGTTAAGATGATAACATAGAATACATCACTCAGCACCTATATATTGATAGAGCGCTTTTCCAGTGCAAATAAGGAGAGTTTCGAGTAGAAACTCATTGACAAAACTATGTTATGAAGATGCGATCCATCATTTACCATCGAACTCGTCATAAAAAAATAAGGTCGAATGCCGTGTTATCAGGTTGCACTTAGCTAGTAGTAGTTGATAAAAATTCCATCTATCATTAACACCATTCTAATGACATTTGATAGCGTACTATAAAATACCGTTGGTCATTAGATAAACTATTTTAAGCTATTAATGACTACTTAACTATTTAAGTTAAACATCTATCAGGTTTAAGTCTAGTCAGGTTAATAGACTAATAAAGACATTAGATGGGTTCACACGGTTCGTGTTAATTGATGTCGAAGCTGAGAGAGATTCTATGAGAATGAATGGATGAATTAAAATCGAAGTTAATATCTTTTTCAGCTCTAACAGTAAGATTGCTGACAAAGCGTTTTATTGGTGAATACGACCGAACTCTAGGTAAGGAAACCAGTCAGGGTCGTCCTTTACGAATTTGCAAGATGTGATCCTATTGGAGGGCGCACATGTGCAGGACAATAGGAAACAATGACCTTTCCCCAACCCCTCCCCTAAACCTAACCAATCACAGGGGACGTTGCAAATTCGTGAAGCCTAACCAGTCACCTGGACCCTGGACCTCGGATTCGGGACTTGGAGCTAGTCTATTATAACATGTTTTTTTAATGATGTTACAGAGTCAGCCTACAGACACATCTTCGAATACGATGCAGAACAAGTCCCATTAGACGTACTTGATACTGCTGGGAGAGTAAGTATTTTTCTCGAATGCATCCTTGCATAATTAAACATTTGTATAAACAGAGCACGTTTGTGTGTAAATATACGTCATGGCTAGTTGGAAGAATGTTCAAATGCATCCCACATGGAAAGGAGTGCCCATTTTTGTTTAGTCATCAGCGACACAGGAACTATACTTGGTTTGCTGCTCATAGTAAGAGGTTAATCATCTACGGTCTGGGGACCGATTAATCTCTCCCTAAAAGCTTCAGCTCGTTTAGCTTCCTAATCAGTCTGTAAATTCTTCCGGGATAGCAGTGCCGAGGTCGAAATCTATAGATTAGTCGTAAATGCTTCGCGCTAACCAGGGGCGGATCCAGGATTTTTTCAAAGGGGGGGTTGTAGCATTGATTGAGGTGGTGGAGAGATATAGCAGACCAAAGGGTTTGGGAGACGATTATTGCTGCAGGCGAGCATGGTTGTTTCAGGTCCCACACACAGCGTATAGAAAAAAAAGGCGAGCGAAATGTGTTCGGCACCCCTGTTTTAATAAAACTCGCGAAGCTGTTGGTGTTGTCATAGAAAAAAAAAAATCACGATGGTTCTCATAGGGGGGGTTGCAACCCCCAAAACCCACCCCTAGATCCGCCACTGCTACCATACGAAGCTTTAGCATTCGATATCTGGAAGTACGGTCCTCGATCGATAAATCTATGAAAAAATAAGAAATAATCTCAAAAATAGCAGTTTGCAATCGCCTTTTTATATCCTGAATAATTGAACTGCTGTGGATAATGTTTTCATACTAGCTCTTTAAGAGTTTAATTTTTCTCTTCTGCAGAATACCAAAAGAAAGCTTGAAATATGTGCAGAGAGTAGCGACATCTTCGTCGTCTTGTACTCAATCACGGACAGGAAAAGCTTTGTCGAGGCTTCAAGAATTGGTAAACTTATTCGTCGAACAACAAATGTCTCGAACACAGGAATGCTGTTAGTGGGAACCAAAACAGACCTTGAACATTTGCGGGAAGTCAAACGAAGGGAAGGAGAAAACTTAGCCAGACAAATGAACTGCGGATTTTACGAAATTTCGATCTCGGAGAGTTCAACAGACACTATGAATATGTTTGCCGACGCGTTAAAAAAGTATTTGGAGGCGCACCCAGGAGCACTAGACCCGCACGCAGGATTGTCTCCGAGCCTTGCAGCAAGCGGTTCGAGAGGGAGTTCTAATAGTTTGGCTGGAAAAGAAAAATTGCCGAAAACCCCGCTGTCAATCATGAATGGAATTAGAACTACATTTGGGAGAAGAAAATCAATTCCTTTCATTTGAGCAGTGAAGGTTCCGGTCTTAGAAAATTTTTGCCGAAGGATCATTAGATTTAGAAGGAGTTAGGAAGAAAGTACTGATGAACGAGATCGAAAAAGTTGAAGATATGCCGCAATGCCGCAAAGTGTATATGCAAAAACAAAGCACTGAACGGATTAACCGCGAATAATTACGATGCCTTCGCAGCCAACCACAACACTTTGCGCAAATAACCACAATACATTGCCAAGTAACCACAATACTTTGCGCAAGTATCCATAATACTTTGCGCAAGTAACCACAATACTTTGCGCATACAACCACAATACTTTGCGCAAGTAACCACAATACTTTGCGCAAGTAACCACAATACTTTGCGCAAGTATCCATAATACTTTGCTCATACAACGACAATGCTTTGCGCGAGTATACACAATGCTTTGCGCCATTAAAAGATTTTTAGTACTTTACTGCAAATGGAAATATCATAGGTTGTGTTATGCACAATGTAGACTATTACTTTTAAAGTGCTTATAAATCTCCTGTACATCTCTAAAGGGTCTACATTTATGTGTATATTATATACATAAGATTTCCGAATAAAAGAGGGATCAATATCGGTTAGTTCTTTTTCAACGCAAGTTAAAAAAGAATACAACTTGAAGAAACGCAGCTTGTGCACTCTGTGTCTCGAATGCGTTGGAAGTAACCTGTGTTGGCCCTCTTGCTGGAAGTGATAAAATATTCCTGGTAAATAATTTCTGGTAAAATATACCGTGGATTTCAAAAATGATGTCGTGTCGACCCCATTGGGTGATATTATCAATCAGAAGGTACAAGTATCACTGCGTTCTCTTCTGATCACTGGTTCAATATCCTGATGACTTCTTCTGACGTAGTATTCATCAATAGTCTCCTTCAGACTAGAGTTGGCTCTTTTCCTGGCCACATGTCTGTCCATCATATCTTTAATCTTGGAAAAAGAACCCTTCTTTACACCAGACATGGCTTGTCTCGCATTTTTTTCTTTGGCAACTTTTGTTGCGACGTCTATAAAAACGCGCTCCACGTCTTTAAAGCTTTCCAAGGTTGAAATCTCGGTGAATGAGCAGTCGAAAGAGTCAGCAAGCTTTTGCGCTTCGCTGGTTTGTACTCTTCGTTTATCTTCTAAGTCGCTCTTGTTTCCTACGAGAGTTACTGTTGGAGGATCGTGAGCGCGGATGTTGTGAAGATGTTGTTGGATTGGAGTGATTTTGTTAAAGCTGTCGCGGTCGTTGATGGCATAGACGAGTAGGAAAGCGTCTCCCCATAAACTACAACTTTCTTTCTTACCCAAGCAATCCTGAAATGCAAAATGATAGATAAAATATCTTCCTCAAGTCAAGGTACTAGTATTCTGGGTGCCAGAGTTCCCTTCGCTCCAGTCCCAATCAGCGTGAAGTCTGAGGCACTAGAGCGAGAGAAACTCTAGAACCAAGGTTACCCTTCTATACCCTTGTTCATTTTTCCAGCGAATAGACTGGATTCATGAGACCCTATTAATAAGGGATCGCCGATACCATGCAGTTGCAGGTTTGTATTAATTCCCAAGAAAATGAAATAGCAAAGACGTGGGCCGTTATGTTGACTAGTCCCTATTAAACAGGTATCGCCGTTACCATGCAGTTGCAGGTTTGTATTAATTCCCAAGAAAATGAAATAGCGAAGAAGTGCGCCGGTATGTTGACTGATCATAACAAATCCTGGGGACCAATATTACGTTCAACAAAAATATGGCGCCTCCAAAAAGCTAACAAAACTGGAAATGCCACCGTCATACATGTTTATGTGTTATGTCTCAGTGTGGTTTGATATGATAAACGAAATTAATCCAATCCCCTTACCTCGCCTCCACTGTCAAGTATCTCAATATTGATGGTTTGTTTATCATTTTCGATGCTATGTTGATAAACTGATCCTACAAAAAGCCCATCATCAAATGGTAAGAACAAAGGCAACAACATTGGTGCAACTACTTTACCCAAACCGAAAGAGCCCTGCCAGCATGGCGCAGCTGCACACAAAAATATAATAACTGGCTACGAGATAAAGCGTATTCATGGTGATACAACTGAGTGTCTTTGCGATTCCCATTTTGGTTCCGGATCGCAAGACCAGTTCATTAGGGCGAATGGTTAATGGTAACTTGTAGGAAATATGGACTTGCTAATCAAATTGACCCTCCTCGAAGACAACCCCTCGGAAACACATCGGGAAGCTCTCGGACACCCTAGGCATGGGGGCGCCCGCATGAGGCAAAGCACTCGGGAACCCATCGAGAAGCTGTCGTAGTTTCTAAAAATGGAAATCAAGCACTCCAGGAGAAAGGAGACGAAAAGTTAGTTTGTACATATTTGAACCTTGCCTTGCATCTGACTAGCCAAAAAATACAATCTGTTGCGCGCGACAAAGCACTCATGCATATGTGTTTGGTTAGACAGGGTTACTGAGACAAGACAATTCTCCAGAGATCATTTCACCAAAAGAGATTGTCAGTCAGCATAAATCTAAATATACCGATGAAAAAAAAGATCTTCATGTCCAGCGTGTTCTCTCCCCTGATCCCGTTTGTTGTCAGCACATCTGACATGATTAGTGACATCATTGACGGAAGTGTTAATGACAGACATGGAGAGTTAATGTTTCCTGGAATGGCCTATGCTCATCTTTTGAGACCTTGTTTTTCTTAATTAGCATCTTCTTTTAAAAACAACAAGGAGACAGTTGCTTGATAAACTAATATATAGGTTTGTAAACCTGCCCAACTGGACAACTTGGGCGAGAAAATGCAACGTTTTCTCCAGTTTTGTGAATGACGTAATCAGTTAGTGCAGGATGGAAAATTTGTTTATGCGTTTGTTTTCGTTGCTTTCTTGATCAAGAAAAACTGGGTTTTTATTTAAAATAAATTTTAATGAATACAGCAAATTCTAGTCCATCGTGCTGTGATTCATCAGGCGTAACCAAACTTCATTACAGTATAATGTGAAGATATCGCAGGCCGGAAACAAAATGCCACTTCACTGCAAGTCAACAACGAAGCAAGTTCGCAACTCATGTCGTTTTTAAAAGGAATTAGTCTTTTTTCTTAAAAGGCTGTTGTCTAAATTTACGATGTTAATTGAATTCTTGGGTTTCTTAAGCTTAGCATTAACATAGATGAATGGAGTAGCTCTTGCATAAGGAGGCTGCATGTGTGCACAAAGTACGATATCATTACTTAAAATGAATGCCTTTGAAACCTTTCATGTTTACGAAAGGAACCCATTGTAGACTTAAATGAAGATTCATTTGGGTTAAGAAAGCGGTTAAACAAATATAAACAAACTATGAACCCCTCTCGACTTTCTTTAATCCCCAAGATTGAAGGCTTATTGAATTCTTGACAAACACTTACCAATATTTGGGTCGTATTCTCCGATGTATCTCTTGGTAAGAAACCTTACAGTCATTGCTAAAATTCAAATGGAAAAAACTTAACTCAGTTTGAAAATTGACCAATAGCTGACTCAACTGAAGTATTTGTTTTCTTGGCTTGAGTCTAGAGGATCACAAATAATGCGACTCCGAGAACAACGAGGGCAAACTGAAATGAGCTTACCAGATTTTCCAACTCCAAGTTTACCAAGCAGAACAACCTTAACAGTGACTGGCTTCTTCTCTTGAGCTTGAGAACGACTCATTCTTGTCATTTCCAGTAGAATTCTCAAGGTACTTGGTCGACGTATGCTAAGTCCTTCAATGGTATAAACGAGTGCTGATGGAGTGTTTTTGCTTTGTGTCGGATGAATAATGTTTACACAAGGAACAATGGGTTTTATCACTTTCGTACAGTTGTCTATCTCGAGATGACAGGCTCAATTTCCTTTAACAAGCTCCAGTTTTATCAAACATTCAACACGAAGCCTTACGAGACCTCCGGATCCAGATCTCCTAATGAAATACTTGACTGCTTGAAATTTTTCTTGAGTTGTACACTCTCAAAATTTCTGAACATCAATGTCTTGAGAAATAATTGAACAATGCAATTAATTTGTACAAGTCCTCAAAAACCAATTGGCGGCCTTAGCTTTGTTGTTCTTTGTACTCAGGCCGAAAAGAAGACGATTGGTGTTTATATCAAGGCTCCTGCTGAGTTTCATAAGAATATGTATGTATCGCAAGTCCAGTCACGGACAAAGAAATTTTATACCATATGGTTTTAGCTTATAGAAAGTGGTGTCATATGGAAAGCCTGCAGCATTATGTCGCGAGACCGATCTAAAGGTTATCTTGTCGTGTTCTTATCACACCGCTTTACGGATAATTTTGGTCGACTGTCTCGTTAGAGACAACGAGAAGTTTAGTTAAGTAAATACCTTTGCGTTATAGTCAGGCCCGTAGCTAGGGGGGGTGCAGGGGGTGCGTTCGCACCCCCCCCCCCCCCCCCCCCCCCCCCCCCCCCCCCCCCCCCCCCACGCGAGCTAAAGGTCCGCTTTTTAAGCAAGTGAGATTTTGGCTGGTATGATA